GGAGCTTCGGGACTTTTCAGATCTCTCTGAGCCTCAGTTTCCTAATCTGTAAAATGGGGATAGAAATAGTACATACCTCACAGTGTTGTTGTGAGACCTTCATAAGATTATGTATGATGTGTGCTTCCTCCAGGGCCAGCTACCTTCTAAGAACCTGATGAATAGTCATTTATATTATGACTCACCTTTAAAAAAAAAAATATATATATATATATACACACACACACACACACACACACACACACTCTAGAGGCCCAATGCACAAAGATCCGTGCAAGAATAGGCCTTCTTCCCCTGGCTGCCGGCCCCGCCTTTACTCCAGCCTGGAGCTGCCTTTCCGCCTCCTTCCGGCCACAGCTGCTTTCCATCTCTCACCTTGTTGCATCAATTTGCATATCCCCTCCTTATTGGCCGTCGGCGCTGCCATCTTTGTCGCAGAGTTATGGTCAATTTGCATACTCCATCTTTATTAGGATATATTTATTGATTTCAGAGAGGAAGAGAGATAGAAACATCAGTGATGAGAGAATCATTGTTTGGCTGCTTCCTTCACCCAATTGGGGATTGAGCCTGCAACCTAGGCATGTGCCCTTGACTGGAATTGAACCTGGGACGCTTCAGTGTGCAGGCCAATGCTCTCTCCACTGAGCCAAATCAGCTAAGGATATGACTCACCCTTTTTAATGGCCACATAGACTCCATTGTGTGACATGTCACTTTTTATTACCCATTCCCCCCTTTTAAAATTTATTATTTTTTTAAATCGTCACCTGAGGATTTTTTTAAAAATTGATTTCTAGAGAGAATAGAAGGGATGGGGGAGGGGGGAGAGAAAGAAAGGGGGGGAGGGAGAGAAAGAGAGAGAAACATCACTGAGAAAGAGACACATCGATTGGTTGCCTCTTGTACATGTCTGACCAGGACTGGGGAATGAACCCAAAACCCAGGTATGTGCCCTTGACCAGGAATCAAATCTGAGACCCTCAGGTACACAGGCTGGTGCGCTAACCACTGAACACACCAGTCTGGGCTTAACCATTCCTCTTTGATGAACATTAGATTGTACTCAACTTGTTTTTTTTGTTGTTATAAATTCCAATGCAGTGAACACTGAATGTATTGTTCTGAACTTGTGTTTCAGTAAAAAAAGAAAAAAAGAAAAAAGTTTCACCTCTGCGGGTCCCTCGATCCTCTGCATTCTAATCTCTCATCCTCTTTCTCTTCAAGGAGGAAATGAAAATGCCCCGTGGGGTGAAGCGTGTGTGCTACGTAGGTTCTTTGCTTTTTATTAAGGCCCTTCTCGCTCCCTCCCTCCTCCACACCAGCGGCAACCCCAGCCCCTGGCCCGCCCCCGCGTGCCCCCACTTCTCCCAGCCCTCGGAGCCTGACCATTCCTGGTCCTTTATTCAAGGATTACTTTTCAGACCCATTTGCTTTCAACACAATTCTTCATAGTCTGCAGTAAAGCAAATGATCAAAACATACTCAAAGCGGGATACAAGCCTAAAGCAAGCGAGGAGGGGAACTCTTGTCACCACAACCCCCCCCCCCCCCCCCGTCCCAATCGTGGGAAGGTACAGCTGTGAGGCCCCAGGCCTGCATGGAGCTCCCTGGCAGCCACAGCGAGCGGGAGAGCAGGACCGATGCTTAGCTCATTGGAAGGCCAGATCCCCACTCTGACCTCCAGGGCCCCCCATGAGATGTGTCTATTACCAGGGGGGGCAGGAAGGGTGCAGTTAGCTCTGAATGTGTCTGGGAGGGAGCGGGGAAGATGGGAGGGAGGTCGGAAAGGAGGCAGGGAAGGGAGGCAGGCTCTCCTGTGACACAGGCCAGACAGTCAGTGAGCCGTTCTGGACCCCTACTGTGTGCCGGGCCTTCAGCAGGCCTGGGAACGCAGTGCTCTCCTCACGGGCTCAGAGCGCAGCGGGGGGAGCGGCAAAATCACCTACAATGAGCTGAGCGCAGCCCGCACGGCTCCGGCTCCGGTTCGAAGGGCCCTTCTCCCCCTGCAGCTGGAGTCCGGGGCCGTGATCCACCTCCTGGGGGCCCTCAGCCCTGGGTACGCGGGGGGCTCGCAGCCCCCGAAGCTGGAGGCCCTGGAGAACATGATGGAGGTGAGCGCGGCCTCGCCCGCCCAGAGGCCCAGGAGGAAGATCCGGCGCCAGGCCCACAGCCCCACGTGGTGCCAGGTACAGAGCACGTGCTTTTTTTTTTTTAAGGATCAGACTCCTGGGCCTTTGCCCAGACCTGCCAGAGAAACACCAGGAGGGGCTCGGAAATCTTTATTTTTATTTTATTTATTTGTTTGTTTATTTTTAAAATATATTTTATTGATTTTTTTACAGAGAGGAAGGGAGAGGGATAGAGAGCCAGAAACATCGATGAGAGAGAGACATCGATCAGCTGCCTCCTGAACACCCCCCACTGAGGATGTGCCCGCAGCCAATGTACATGCCCTTGACCGGAATTGAACCTGGGACCTTTCAGTCCGCAGACCGACGCTCTATCCACTGAGCCAAACCGGTTTCGGCAGAGCACGTGCTTTTTATTCTTATAGATCAAGTGTGGCTCTTCACTTAGGACAGTGGTCGGCAAACTTGTTCATCAACAGAGCCAAATAGCAACAGCACAACCACTGAAATTTCTTTGGAGAGCCACATTTTTTTAAACTTCAACTTCTCCTAACGCCTCTTCTTCAACATAGACTCGGCCAGGCGGTGGTATTTTGTGGAAGAGCCGCACTCAAGGGGCCAAAGAGCCACATGTGGCTCGTGAGCCAAGGTTTGCTGACCACGGACTTAGGCGACGTCTCTCAATCTTGTTGAGAGAGATGCACTCACGCTGTTGCTCCGAGTGGCCACCGCAGCCCAGAGAGACACAGCGAGCAGTAGCCTGCGCAGGGGATCTGCGTGCCCTTTGCTCCTGGCCACCCCACGTTCTCCTGGCCGCCTCCCTCAGGAGGGACAGAGAGGGTCCAGTGGCGTCACTGACCTCTCCTGCCGCCTGGGAGCGGCTCCTCCACACACACTTCCTCCTGCTCAGGAGGCCGGTGCCCAGGGCCGGGGTGAGAGCGTCTGCCCTGTCCCACGGCCTCCTTCGCTGGAACACCGGTCGGGGAGAAAGTGGGGAAGGGGTGTGGCTGGGGAAGCTGTGTCCCAGTTCCTCCCCCTCCCCCACAGCCCAGCCCAGTGGAGTCTGAAGAGGAGTCGTCTGAGGAACAGGAGTGGGAAGAGGACCCAGGTGAGGGGCCGCCTGCGGCCAGCAGTCCCGGGAAGACAGGATGTGTCCCCTCGGCCCCCATCAGCCTGTGGTCCTTCCCCAAAGAGCCGGGGGCTGATGGCTGCCTGGGCTTAGCTCTCAGACAGGTGGGATGGACACGGCCTGAGACCTGGACCCCTCCTGGGCCTGCCTAAGCCCCTCAGCCCCGAGTCACGTCCTCCCCTTGTCCCTGAGCATCCCCTGGGGACCCTTGACCCTTTTTCTCCACAGCTCAGCTCCAGCTCCAGAAGGACATTAGGGTACGGGACACTGTGGTCCGGGTCATGCAGAAGGTGCTGTGGAGTCGGTAAGGCCTGGCTCCCCACTTCCCTGACCCCTCAGGGTACCTCCGCCTCCCTGGGTCATGCCATGCTCTGAGGCAGCGGAATCGAACCTGGGACCCTTCAGTCCACAGGCTAACGCTCTATCCACTGAGCCAAACCAGCTAGGGCTATTCAGTCAAACATTTAATTAACTCACCCCTAACGCCTTGGCAGGGCCGGACCCAATGATTTCGCAGGCTTTCTACGGCCGGAGGCGGCTGTCTCCCACCGTCTTCCAGGGGTGTATGAGGAATCCCTTTCGTGGCTGTGAGGTCACAGCCCACGAAGAGTGCAGAGAGGTGGACTTGACCCTGGGTCTCTGGCTTCCAGGCTGCGCTTTCCCATTCAGCCCTTGTGGCTCCCGTCTGCTCAGGTCCTCGTGGGTGTCGCCCACAGCAGAGTTTTCAGATACAATGAGCCTGTGGCGGGCTCTCAGAGATCAGCCCAGAGCGCTCAGTCCCCAATGGGGAGACAAGGCCCAGGGAAGGCGGGACTTTGCAAAAGCCACCAGCAGCCCTTGCCGGTTTGTCTCAGTGGATAGAGTGTCGGCCTGTGGACTTACCAGGAGGGTCCTGGGTTCAATTCCGGTCAAGGGTTGTGGGCTCCATCCTCGGTAGGGGGCATGCAGGAGGCAGGCAATCAATGATTCTCTGTCATCATTGATGTTTCTCCCTCCCTCTCCCTTCCTCTCTGATAGCAATAAGATAAATAAATAAATAAAAAGGCACCCAGCAAACCAATGGCAGACTTAGGGTTTCACCCAAGGCCAGGGCTCTGTCCTCTGCCTTGGCTGATGCCTTACCCGCCCCCAGGCTGTCTCCCCTTATACTTTCCTCAGTTCCAGCGGCCAGGGCTAGAGCGTGAGCTGAGCAGTCAGATTGTGTTTGCCACTAACCATGTGGCCCCGGGCAAGCCATTGCCTCCACCGAGCCTCAGTTACCTTTCTGTAACTGGAGGGTGATAATACTTGTTCCTCTGAGAGTTGGGGTGAGAATAAACATAGGAAAATCCCCAGAGTCAAAACAGAGTTGGCCCAGACCTTGCCTCCCACCATCTTGCTCCCCGCCAGTGGAGTGCCCGGATAGCCTCACACTCAGGGCCTGTCTACCCCCCCTCCCCCCAGACTCCAGGAGCTCTCAGATGTGGGGCTGAGTGAGGAGGAGGTGGAGGGCATCGCTGTTGGCATTGAGGCCGCCCTCTTCGACCTGACCCAGGCCACCAACTGCCGCTACAAGACCAAGTACCGCAGCCTGCTGTTCAACCTGCGCGACCCCCGGAACCCGGTGAGCGGGACTGTGGGCTGGGCCTGGCCCCTCCGCGGTACCGAGCCTGGCCTCCGAGCGGTGTGGTGCAGCCCCTGCCCCTGCCCCTGCCCCGCAGGACCTGTTTCTCAAAGTGGTTCATGGAGACATCACCCCCCACGGCCTGGTGCGGATGAACTCAAGCCAGCTAGCCCCCAAAGGGCTGGCCCGCTGGCGGGACCAGGAGGAGAAGAGGGTGAGGCTTGGGGTCAGTCGGGATAGGCGGCAGGATGGGTGGCGGTGTGGAGGGGCGACCCGAGTGTGGAGCAGGAAGAGAGAGACGGAGCAGAGGGAGGAGAAGGCGGTGAGACATGGGGAGCATGAGACAAAGAGAAACATAGAAACCAGGAGAAGAAAGGAGAGAGGAGGCAGACGTGGAGAGTCAGAGAGACTCTACCAACATAATGAGGAAAAGCGGTGGAGACGAGAGGGATTAGAGACGGGGAGGTGGTTAGAGGAATGACACCCCCGAGAGGTGTTACCTTCCACGTGTTTTTCTGTGAAGCCGGGTGGAGGGTGGGAGTGAGGGGCTGGGGATGATGGTCCAGACTCGAGAGTTCATGATTGACATCTACCATCCGTGGGGAATAGACCCCTGGGGTGTCCCTGTTCCTGTTCCTGTTCCTGCCTCCTGGTGCCCCAGCCTGGGTGAGAGACCTCCCTACGCCCACACTCCGCAGTTATATCCCCATATACCCTGTGCCCATGGTCTCCCCTCCCCGGGGACTGTTCAGGCACAGGGAACGGGTGGGCACAACCGGCTTTGGAGTTTGTGTAGCGATTTCTGTGGCCCAGTGAGAGGGAAGGACGGATCTAGGGAGTGGGGCCGTGGGAGGGGGTGGGTGCTAAGGCTCCCGTTCTGGTGGACACTGATTAGAATTAATAACTAGAAGCCACGAGACCGTAGTCGGCAAACTGCGGCTCACGAGCCACATGCAGCTCTTTGGCTTCTCGGCTCCTCGAGTGTGGCTCTTCCACAAAATACCACAGCCTGGGCGAGTCTATTTTGAAGACTTGGTGTTAGAAGTTTAAGTTGAAAAAATTTGGCTCTCAAAAGACATTTCAATCGTTGTACTGCTGATATTTGTCTCAGTTACTAACTAATGAGTTTGCCGACCACTGCTCTAGGAGAATCTGGCCACTGTAGATCGAACTTCTGTCCAGGCCCTGTGGGGATCAGGGAGTGGGACCAGCTGCTGAATTGGTGGGGCCGGTGCTGAATGGAAATGCAGGGCCCTTTGTTCAGCGATGAAGAATTTCCAGATGACATTGGCAGTAAGCACGGGGCCGTCTAAGCGCGGAGCCTGCGCAGCTGCCCCAGAGCCTGGCCCATGAAGCCAGCGCTGCCAGAGCAGACAGGGCCTGGCCCTCCAGAGGCGGTTAGAACTGGAGGGACAGGCTTTCAGGAAACATTTCAGATAGGAAGACATGGATCAATCATTAGAGTCCCAACTGGCCTTTACTACGACCCAGGCTCTGGCTAAGCACTCTGCGTATGCTGGTTAATGCTCTTAGTTTATTTATTTAAATATATATTTTATTGATTTTTTGCAGAGAGGAAGGGAGAGGGAGAGAGAGCTAGAAACATTGATGAGAGAGAAACATTGACCAGCTGCCTCTTGCACACCCCCACCAGGGATGTGCCCGCAACCAAGGTACATGCCCTGGATCGGAATCGAACCTGGGACCTTTCAGTCCGCAGACCGACGCTCTATCCACTGAGCCAAACCGGTTCTAGCTAACGCTCTCAGTTTAATCCCTGGAGAAGAGGAAACCTGAGGCTTAGAGCAGCACAGTGCTTGCCCAAGGCCACTGCCTTGTGGGTCTCTCAGATTAACAGCCCAGCTGGCCCTCCAGAGCCTGTGGGCCTTCAGGACAGACGGCAGGGTGCACTCAGGAGCAGCTCTGACTGCGCTGGTGCAGGCGGAGTTCAAGGCATCCTGGAGGAGCAGGGCTTGTGCTGGAGGGTGGATGAGTGGCATACGGAGAGGTAGGGCTGGGGAGGAGGGCTTTCCGGGCGAGGGGAATGGCGAAAGCAAAAGTGTGGGGAGGGAAAAGGCTGGCGAGGAAAGGACCACAGGAGAGGGGCCTCGAGGGAGGACAGTGAGCACTTGGCCCCCTGAATCGGCTGAGCGAGGGCTGCTCCCCCCCAGGGCCTGGAGATCATAGAGCAGCAGCAGAGGGAGCTGTGCATCCTTCCGACCTCCAAACTGACCCACAAGGGCGAAGTCGAGATCCTGCGTGACACGGACCAGATGCTGACCCTGGAGGATCTGGTGGTAAGCGGAACCTGACCTGGGGCTGGGCAGGGCCTGTGCCCGGGATCCCACTCCTTAACTCATCGGTGTGTGGCCTCGGGCACATCCCTGGACCACTGTGAGGCCCACAGTCCTCATAGTCAAGCTGGGCAATGATCCACCACGCAGAGTCCAGGTGAGCACGGGGCCAGACAGCCCCGGCCCAGACCCTGGCAGTGCCTCCTCAGTGCGGATCCCTCTCCTTTTTATTTATTTATTTATTTATTTATTTAAAAATTTTTATTTTTCACAGAGAGGAAAAGAGAGGGATAGATAGATAGCTAGAAACATCGATGAGAGAGAATCATCAACCAGTTGCCTCCTGCACACCCCTTACCGGGGATGCGCCCGAAACCAATGCACATGCCCTTGACCGGGATCAAACCTGGGACCCTTCAGTCCACAGACCGACGCTCTATCCACTGAGCCAAACCGGCTAGTCCCTCTCCTTTTGACCTAACCCTAAGGGGCTCCATGTGAGTGGTCCTATCCCCGCAGTTCCCTCCCAGATACCTGGTTGGGAAGCAGGAGAGCCACACTGAGGCCGTGTCTTTGTGCTCGTAAGGAGCAGAGACCTCTATTCGGCAGAAGGAATTAGGGGTGCTTCAGGCAGGGCATTACCCAGATCGCAGGGCAGTCGGTGCAGGGATCTGCCTCGTCCTCCTGTCCATCCTGCTTCTTCCTCCTGCTTGGCCCTTCCGTCTTGCACGTGGCCCGACATGGTGGCTCAGCAGCCCTCCCTCCCAGTCAGTGAGCCCGCCAGCCTCCTGCAGCTGTCAGCACTCCCCCGGGGCCCCCTTCAGTCTCTCTCAGAGGTGGCTCCGGCTTTTGTTGGGTGTCTGTGGGTCAGATGTTCACGCCAGTCTTATCAGCCGTGTGTGCAGGATGGGGAGGGCAGGGAAGGCCCCCGGAGTCACATTCACTGGGGACATGGCAGTGAGCGTGACAGACAAAGTCCCTGCTTCTCCCAATCAACATCGGGCCAACAGCCAGAGTTGCTGCTGTGCGGAGAGGAGCCCGCAGGGATGTGGCTGCTCTCCAGCCCAAACCACTCTGAACTCCCTGAACAGACTGTGAGTGCAGGGGAGGAGCTAGGAAGGCCTGGAGAGGGGAGAGGGGAAGAGTAGGGGGTAGCAGAGTAGGGGAGGGAAAACAATACACAGCAATCTTTACTCCTTGCTGAAATTCCTCCTGGATGAGGAGCCCGAAGCCACGTGCCCAGATCACCGAGTTGGCAGCGGGGAGATGAGCTTTGAAGCCAGGCTGTCTGACTGCAGAGCCTGAGCCTTGGCACTACTTTGGAGATGGTTTTTAGGGCAAAAGTAGAGGTTAAAAATCTTTTAAAAAATAATTTAAAAAATATATTTTCATTGATTTCAGAGATGAAGGGGGAGAGAGGAGGGACAGAGGGAGGAAGCAGATCAATGAGAGAGAATCATTGATCGGCTGCCTCCTGCCCGCTCTACACTGGGGATGGAGCTCACAACCTGGGAATTGAACCGTGATCTCCTGGTTCACAGGTCGACTTTCAACCACGGAGCCATGCCAGCAGGGCAAAGTTAGACATCTTCTTAAATCTTCCTAAAACAATGTTTAGTTTGTGTTTAAAGCTGTTGCTATTATGATGAAGGAAGGTGATTTGGCCATGGGCATCAAGTCTTAAAAGGGTTCCTTCTCCCTGATTCCGTCATCAGCTTATGAGAGCTTGTCCTAAGGAAGTAGTTGAAAGTTTAGGCAAATATTTTCTTGCGCAAGGATGTCTTCAGTGCCATTTGTCATAGCGGAAACCTGGGACCGACCCAGTCATCTGGCCACCGAGGTGACTCGGACTCTGCCACGCACCTCATGTGTGTAATACCGACAGGGACTACGGACGTGGCAAATGCCGCTGCTGTCGTTCAGGGACAAGACGATACAGGCAGACCTTGTTTTATTGCGCTTCTGCTTTATTGTGCTTTGCAGATACTGCCCTTTTTTATTTTATTTTTTTACAAATTGAAAGTTTGTGGCCACCCTACATCAAGTAATTCTATTGGCACCAGTTTTCCAACAGGTTCAGATGATGATTAGGATTTTTAAACAATGATTTTTTTTTATTTGGGGGAGCCTAAATTTTATTTTGGTGACACTAAGATATGTGAAACATTGTCTTCCTATATTTTGTACTTTGCTCTATAAATAAAAATTTTATTGGGGTGACATTGGTAATAAAATTACATAGGTTTCAAGTGTATGATTCTATAATACATCATCTTGTATACTGTATTGTGTGTTTACCACAATAAAATATTTTTAATTAAGGTAAGTACACTTTAAAAAATATTTTTATTTCAGAGAGGAAGAGAGAGGGAGAGAGATGGAAACATAAATGATGAGAGAGAATTATTGATTGGCTGTCTGCATGCCCCCACTAGGGATCAGCCTGCAACCCATTGAATATGCCCAAGAGAGAGAGAGAGAGAGAGAGAGAGAGAGAGAGAGAGAGAGAGATTGATTTGTTATTCTACTTATTTATGCATTCATTAATTGATTCTTGTATGTGCCCTGACTGGCGATTGAACTCTCAACCTTGGTGTACTGAGATGATGCTCTAACCAACTGAGCTACCCAGCCAGGGGATACACTTAAAAAATTTTTTTTTAAAAATTGATGTTTTTACAGAGAGAAAGGGAGAGGGAGAGAGAGTTAGAAACGTTGATGAGAAAGAAACATTAATCAGTTGCATCTTGCACCCCCCCCACGGGGATGTGCCTGCAACCAAGGTACATGCCATTGATTGGAATCGAACCTGGGACCCTTGAGTCCACAGGCCGACGCTCTATCCACTGAGCCAAACCGGTCAGGGCGATACACTTTTATATACACACACACACACACACACACACACACACACACAAGACTATTGAACACTTAATAGACTACAAAATAGTGTAAGCATAACTTATGTATGCACTGGGAAACCAGAAAAGTCATGTGACGCTATTGCAATATTCGCTTTATTGTGTTGGTTTGGAACAGAACCCACAGCATCTCAGAGGTATGCTCTTAAAGGTTAAACATATATAAGGTGTCCCCCCCAAAATGTATACACACTCTAACAGCTGGTGACTCACTTAATTTTCACTCCTTTGCAGGTTTAACTGATTTGAAATAATGGGTGAAGCCAGACTAAGTTTTGAACAAAGAAAATTTATCCTAAAGCGCCATTAGACGTTCTTTAATGGGGACATATAAAAGATAAAGCTTACGGTACAAAACCCGGCAACAGTCAACGAATACCGTACGAAATGATTCTTGATGTTTGCGATTCCATTGCTTCACCTTATCAGCAGTGCCTGGACCAGAATAGTCATCAATTTGAAAACAGGCAATGACAAAATGAATTATCGATTTCTGTAGATTCTTTTAAATTTTGAAAGTGAAGTGTATTTTAATAAATACTGAGTTTATAATCATTCATAGTGTGTACACATCTTTTTGGGACACCCTGTATGTGTTACTTTTAATACTCATCAAAGATATGTTGTTGTTTTTAAATTGATTTTAGAGAGATGGAGGGAGGGAGGGGAATGGGAGGAAGGGAGGGAGAAAAGGGGGGGGGGGGAGAGAAAGAGAAACGTAATTGATTGCCTCTCATACACAGCCCAATCAGGGATGGAACTTGCAACCTGGGTATGCACCCTGACCAGGAATCAAGCCTGCTACCTTTTTGGTGTATGGGACAACATTTCAACCCACTGAGCCACCTGGCCAGGCCCAGGTTGAATATTTGATCCTAGCCATTTTAGTAAAAGACCCTAAAACCTGGGTATATAAAAAATTATAAAGGAATACCCAGAGTATCAATAGTTGTCTCTAAGTGATGGGACAGGGGTGATTTTTTTTTTTTCAAAATTTCCAAATTTTCTTTAACAAGTCACATACTTGTGTAATAAAAGAACCCATTACTTGGGAGAATAAAGCCATATCCCTGAGGCTTTCTGCTCATGGAGGGCTCCTGACACCCCAGCTGCCTGTACAGGCCACCCCTCTCCCTGTGCCTCCCAGAGACCCGTGGTGTCCACAGACTGCAGCCCCCTGGCCCTGCCTGCCATGTCAGCGGACCCCACGGAGCAGTGGGACCCCACAGAGCTGCAGGAGGACCCCACAGAGCCGCAGGGGGACCCCACAGAGCCACAGGGGGACCCCACGGAGCAGTGGGACCCCACAGAGCCGCAGGAGGACCCCACAGAGCCGCAGGGGGACCCCACAGAGCCACAGGGGGACCCCACGGAGCCACAGGGGGACCCCACGGAGCCACAGGGGGACCCCACGGAGCCACAGGGGGACCCCACGGAGCCGCAGGGGGACCCCACAGAGCCACAGGGGGACCCCACAGAGCCACAGGGGGACCCCACGGAGCAGCGGGACCCTATGGAGCAGCAGGGGGACCCCACGGAGCAGCAGTGGAACCCCACACAGCAGCAGGGGGACCCCACAGAGCCGCAGGGGGACCCCTCGGAGCAGCGGGACCCCACGGAGCAGCAGGGGGACCCCACGGAGCAGTGGGACCCCATGAAGCAGCAGGGGAGACCCACGGAGCAGCAGGGGGGCCCCACGGAGCAGCAGGGGGACCCCACGGAGCAGTGGGACCCCATGGAGCAGCAGGGGGGACCCACGGAGCAGCGGCGGGACCCCACGGAGCAGCGGCGGGACCCCACGGAGCAGTGGGGGGCCCCCACTGAGCAGCAGGAGGACCCCATGGAGCTGCATGAGCACCACTTCTTAGACTCCAGCTGCCACATCGGCAAGGGTTGTGGGAGACACGGCACGGGGGGTGGCGGGAGGAAGGGGGTAGTACGGGGGGGGGGGTGTGTTGGGGCGGTGAGGTTCAGCAGTAACAGGGATGTGTGGCTTGGGGAGAAGGTGGCGGGTGGGGGTGCCTGGACCCCAGGTCACTGCTTCAATCCCTGGCTCTAAAGCCCTGGCTGGCCTGGCTGCCTGCCCCTGTTTCAGCTCCTGCCTCTGCCGTTTGCAGATGGGAAGCCCTCCTGTGAGCTGCCAGGCCTCTCTGAAGCCAACAGGAGGGCGGAGGACGATGCCATCCAGAGAGCCCTCGTGTCCTCTCCAGTGCTGCCCCAAACCTCGGAGAAACCGCCCATGGAGCCCCAGGACAGGTGTGGGGCTGGGGCAGGGAGGTGGCGGGAGCACCCGCTGGGACAGCAGACGCCTGGCTTTCTCTCTGTATGGCCTTGGAAAAGACGTACCTCTTCTGTGGGTCTCAGTTTCCCCACCTCTGTGGTGGAACTACTAATCATCCCGACCCACTGGTTCACCTGCATAACGCCACGCTCGGACCAGTGTGCTACACCCGCAGTGCGGACACGGGGCCGACCTTCTTAGAAAAGTAAGGAGATGCCGGGGAAGCCCTGATGACCTGTCTCCCGGGCCCCTCTCTCTGTCTTCCCTCCAGGCTGCAGATGTCTGCGGAGCCCACAAGGCCCCCCTGGGAGGGCACTGTGGCCATGTTCTCCATTAAGCAGTTCCGGGTCAAGGCCCAGCTGGTCTCAGGACACAGCTGTCAGCTCCTCATGGTACTGCTGCCCTGTTCACCTGGGTCTCCCTCATACCTGACCCGCCCAGTCAGTTACACCCTCATTCATTCATTCATTCATTCACTTCCTCATTCTGAGACCCTGGCTATGCCTGGCCCTGTGTTAGACATGGGGATAAATGAGATGCCAGCCTCACTCCTGCAGAGACACGAATGGGTAAAGGGATTCCCTGAAACCCAAGGCATAAAGCAAGAAGGACCCAGGAGAGGGTCTGTGCTTCCCTGGCTCAGAGGAGATTTTGGAAGTGGTTGTTGAGTGACTAATGACCAGCTGACGTGTGGGACGAAGGTGGAAGGTTAGAGGAGGGAGGAAGGGCCTTCTGAGAAGTTGTGGGAGACTGGCCAGGCAGAACCTAAGCCTCAGGGGCAATAAGGGCCTCCGGGGCAGCCATGTGGGGTCCCGATAGACGAGTTGCTCATCCTCTTCGCCACAGGCTGTGGCTTTCAGGTGGCTGGTGTGGAGTCTGCCCTAAGTGGCTGGGAATCCTGGGGGCTGACTGGCCATGCTACCTGCCCCCAGACCCTGCCCGAGGTGATCCGCTCAGCAGGCTGCATCCCCCACCACATCGTCTGGGACCTTCTGGCTAGCATCTGCCCAGCCAAGGCCAAGGTAACCACCCACCCTCGGGTCTCACCTCTTCCTGCTAGCACCATACCCCCCGCCCTGCGCTCCCTCTCTCTCCTCCTCTGGAACGGAGACGTGGTGTGCAATAGCTGGAGGTGGAGTTCCCACTTGCCTGCAGGCTTACAGTGTGACCCTGGGCAAGTCCCTCTGTTTCCTTCTCTGGAAAGTGGGGGCGCACTTCCTCCCAGCAGGGGTGGTTGCAGGATCGAAGGATGACGGGTCCAAGAGCTGCTGTCCTTCCTGCAACTACAGGACACCTGCGTGGTCAGACTGTGCCCCCAGGGGGCTCGGGACACCCAGAACTGCCACCTGCTCTACTCCTACCTCAACAACAAGCAGTGCCATGGCTTGGCAGCGGTGGAACACGTGAGGGTGGTCCTGCTGCCCCTGCCCGCCTTCCAGCCCCTGCCCGCCAGGCTGCGCCCTCTCGGAGGCCCAGGTGAGCTCGCCGCTGCCCATGCCGGAGCCTGCCTCCCTCTGCTCGGCGGCACTGTCGCCGTGTCTCTGTGGAGACGGGCACCTCTCTGGAGGGAACTCCTGAGACGGAAAGATGTGATAACAATGACGGTGGCTCACACTTGTATATTGTTTACTGCATGCCGGATGGTGTTCTAAAAGCTTACTTAAATTAATCCTCAAAATAACCCCTGGAATGGTGCTATTAATGTCTTCATTCACAGATGAGGAAACTGAGGTAGGGTCAAACCATCCATGTCCACCCTAAGCCAGGAGAACAGATCTTCCAAGGAAGGTCCACCATCCCCAGTTACTTTCCCCAGCATCTCCTGGGCCCCCATTGCATTGCTGGGAAGTTCTTCTTGGGGGTCTGACCTCCGGGACCTCCTGCCACGGCCAGCACGCAGCTTCCGGAGGGCTGTGCCCTCCGTCCTACCCCGCCTGTGGTCTCTCCCTGCCTCTCCCCAGGCCTGGAAGTCACTCACCCCAGCCTGCTGCTGGCAGTGCTGCTCCCCACAGCAGGGCTTTCGGACGCGGCGGAAGCCGGCCCCTTGCTGGAGAAGATTCGCAAGACGGTCTCCTTCAACAAGAAGGTGGAGATGAGATGCTTCCAGAGGAAGGACAGGAGGCGGGATGTGGCCCCGAAGGGCTCCCCTCCCCCAGGGGGTGCCCTGCAGCAGAGCCAGTGCGAAGGCAGCCTGGCTCCCCGGGGAAGCTGTGCCTGGCAGAGGCCCTCCGGAGGCAGAGGGAGGCTGTGGGAAGAGCCTGAGACCTGGCAGGGTCCCGGGCCAGGGCAGTGGCCCACGAGACCAGGCTGGGGCCAGTCCTGGCATCCCTATTCCGAGGCCCCAGCTGGCCGGGGCAGGCACCCCCACAAGGCGTCCTGTCCCCAGCAAGCCCTGCTCCAGCACCTGGAATCCCTGGTGACTATGAGCCACCAGCTCCAAGCCTCCCTGAGAGCCCCGGGCCTGGAGCTCCCGCCCCAGCCCCCTGCAGCCTGTGCGATCCTTGGACTCCTTTGCCGGCCGCCTGCAGCCCCAGAGCCCCCCAGACCTGCCCCTGACTCCTCTTTGGGCCCAACAGATGGAGCTGGCTCTGAGCGTCCTCTCCCTGGAGGGACCTGACCCCGGAAGAGGGGCTTTGACTCCCTCCCCAGTGCTGATCCCTGAGCTGGTCCAGGGGGACGTGGGGGTGGAGGAAGGGGAGGGCCAGCTCAGCCCACCTGCTCCTTTTGACTTTCATAGTTTTGCAAACTGTTTTAGTGTTGATTTTTTGTTGTTGTTGTTGTTCAATAAAGATTTTGATAAAGCTGAGACTGCATGCCTCTGCTGGCTGGGCAGGAGAGACCTGGGCCTGGCCAGGGGTGGGTTGGGGTGGGTGTGTCTGAGGTTTTGTGCACTGATGTACAATAGTAGCAAAGCTAAAGTGCTGGGATGGATGGGCAACTTTGCCAGTTGCTTGTCTGAGGTTCGTAACTATCACTGTGTGCCAGGGCACGGCTGTCGCCATGGTGGGTTCTGGGAGCATTGTCTGAACGAGGGGGGAGAACAGGTAATGGGAGAGATGGCAGGAGTAGGGAGGGGGAGAGAGAGAACTTGGCTTTCGAAGGGGCACAGGCACCTAGAGATGGCAATGGTTTTTAAAAAACTTTCTGTTGCCAAGAATTTATTTTCCTTTGGATAGTTGGGATGTCAGTGTGGCGTGTCCTTGGGAGAACTGAGCCTGGGGACTGACTGTGTGTGTCTGTGTGTGCACCTGCCTGTGAGCATGTGTGTGTCTGTTGAAGTCGGGAGACCCATCAAGCACCACTCCTCTCTATCTCTTGCCAGCTCCCGGACACTGGGACTGGAGAAAGCCAGGGGTCTTGGCCTGGCAGGTGGACATTCGGGCTGGCGTTAGGGCTGGACGCTGCTGCTTTGGGGCCTGGAGTGATCCGACAGCAGCTACAATTGTAAAGCATGTCAGTGTGGCGTGTCCTCCGGAGAACTGAGTCTGGGGACTGACCAGCAAACTCGCTGCTCTTGGCTGCCTAACCCGACCCGAGAAGCAGGACCTGGCTTGGAGAACTTCGACAGGACCCTACCCTTCCCCCTGGGCCTGAAGGGTGTACCCCCTGTCCACCCTTTCTTTCTTTCTTTCTTTCTTTCTTTCTTTCTTTCTTTCTTTCTTTCTTTCTTTCTTTCTTTCTTTCTTTCGTTCTCTCTCTCTCTCTCTCTCTCTCTCTCTCTCTCTCTCTCTCTCTCTCCCTATTTCCCTCTCTCTCTCTCTCTCTCTCTCTCTCCCTATTTCCCTCCCTCCCTCCCTCCCTCCCTCCCTCCCTCCTTCCTTCCTTTCTTCCTTTCTTCCTTCCTTCCTTCCTTTTCATTCATTCAACCAACAAATCTCGAAATCTATGTGCCAGCTTGTCTGGACCGTGCTGGAAGGATGGGGTACTGGTTGTTTGGGGGAGTCTCTTTGCCCCAGGAGCTCTGCTGCTGCCCTACCCGCGGACGACAGCAGAGGGGGCCCTCGGCCTTGGGATGGAGGTCGGGGCTGGCAGGGCTAGAGGCCGAGCTGGGGGGTGGGGCGAAGTGTGGGGTTTCAGCCGAAGGGATTGGAAAGCAGGGACCCGGGTGGGGTGCGGGGTGGGACAGGGAGCAGGGACAGGGGAGCCTGCAGATGAGTGGAAGCTCCCTTGGGAACTTTTCTGGCCCCGAGTGGCTGGCGAGCCAGCGCCGCCGCTTCTGTGCCATATGCAAATGACACCAATTACTATGCAACCTACAGCTCTATTCCGAGCCGGCAATTTGGGTCATTTTCCTAACGCGGTGGGAGGAGGAGGGTTTGGAGCAGGAGACGGCTGCGCACCCCTCCCCCGGGTGCAGAGCAGAGCGTCCGCCGCCCTCCCGGGGCGCTCCGGGGAGAACGAGCTCTGTCCTTGCGCTGGGGCTCCCGTCCAGCTTCCCCCTCGGCGGGGAGAGGGCTGTATGCGGACCCCCCGAGTCTGGCAGCTGCTTCGAGGCTGGGGGCTGGTCACCCTGTCATCCACTCTCCTTTTGGCCCTCGACCGGCGGTCGCCCACCTCTCGAACCTCACGGACCGCCAGTGGCCCGCGGGGCACCGGCTGGCGACCGCTGCGCGGCCCGTCCGCACGCCCCCAGCCTCGCTCTTTGCAGAGGAGGCCCGGGCGGCGCGCGAGGCGAGCTGTTGCTAGGGGGCGAGGCCGGCGGTTGCTAGGCTCGGTGAGCCGTTGCTAAGCAACGCTGGGCGGGGCTCCCGTCGGTAGGCCAGAGTGGGAGCAGCCAGGGACTTGAAGGGCTGCCAGGCCCCCCTCGGGGTGAGTGGAGGGCGCCCCGCCAGGCCGCTCTCCCCGCGGCTTCCTCGGGCTTCGGCACCGGGTGGACGCCGCCGGCGCCGCGGGTCCTTCCGGTTCACGCCCTCCGCGCCTCCTCCATCCTCCGGGCTGGGAAGCGAGGAGCCCTGGGCCTCTGTGCACGTGTCTGTGCAGATTGCTCGTGCCACGAGGTGTGTGTGTTGGGGGCGCCTTTGGGTTTCCATAGAAACTTCTGTGCCATCTTCTTGCTTCCCAAGGTTTGAGCAGTTGCTTGTGCAAATTTACATCTATCTGCATGTCATTAGCATAGAGGCGGGGCCGGGACTTATTTGGGCAACTGTGCCTGGACGTTGGACAGGTTCCCTTCGTTTTAGCCTGCTTGATGGGCTCGAGGGCTGCGCATGCGTAAGCGGCTTTAAAATTTTTTTATGTTTTTTTAAAAATTCATTTTATGTTATTATTATTTTCTTAATCCTCACCTGAGGATAATTTTTTTTTTCATTGCTTTTTGGAGAGTAGAAGGGAGGTAGGGAGGGAGAAAGGAATGGGGAGACAGGCACACATTGTCTGCCTCCCGCAGGCACCCCGACTGGAGAGGAACTAACAGGCAACAGAGGTACGTGTCCTTAACAAGGAGTCGAACCCGCCGACCCTTCAGTGCGCAGGCTAACGCTCTAACCACTGAGCACACCACCAGGCCCATGTACATTTTTCTTACTAATGTTCCCAGGTTTGGGTCAAGTGGGTAAATTTAATTTAAGGGGTCCTCAAACTTTTTAAAGTGGGGGCCAGATCACGGTCCCTCAGAGAGCTGGAGGGCCGGACTATATGAACTACTAATTCCTACTGTAACACCTCGGCTGCGCTCACTGCCCAAAAAACCTGGCGGGCCGGATCAGACTCCTCTGCGGGCCGCATGTGGCCCGCGGGCCGTAGTTTGAAGATTCCTGGAAAAGGTCATAGTGATCACCGATTCCAGCCCTGGTCACCTTCTGGAACTATTAGGATGAACCCCTCGCGATATCGCTGACCAAAGACATGCAGACAATGGTTGGAATCCCAATTCTGCCCTCTCCTGGCTGTGTGGCCTTGCCTTGGGCAAGCTTGGTTTCCCTCTCGCCGTGCAGTTTGCTTCTCGGTAAGAGGGACACTAATCCCTGACTCATCAGGTTATGTGAGGATTCCGTGAGCTGCCGCCTCTGCATACACTTATTGCTGCTTCTGACACGCAGTAGGCACGTAATGGAAGTTCCCTCCATCCCTCCATAGAGCCCAGCTTCTCTTGGGGCCCAACCAAAGCAAGTCAGCTTCCTTTGCAGCTCAAGACCTGACACCTAACATCAGGATAAACGTTCCGATGTCAGAGCGGACTGGATCCAAAGCACAGGAGGTGGACTATGTTGATTTGCTTGTTTGTCCTTCTTGGAGGCTGGATACCAGGTTGGTGAAGCATGGACCCTCCCGCCCCCATCACCCCCCCTTCTCACCACCACCACCACCACCACCACCACCACCACCACCACCACCACACGTGAACACATTTAACATACTCGTCTCTCTCAGGGGTCAACTGTTTCCAGAAACTTGGCACTCCTGTTTCCAAGGTGCTGGAGCTTGAGGCAGCTGCAGCAGCGGCAGCTGAGGGTGAGAGGCTTAAAGACCAAAACTGAGCCCAGCGGGCATGGCTCAGTGGTTGCGCATTGACCTATGAGGCAGGAGGTCACGATTTGGTTGCCCGGATTGCAGGCTTGATCCCCAGGGTGGGGTGTGCAGGAAGCAACTGATCAAGGATTCTCTCTCATCATTGATGTTTCTATCTCTCTTTCCCTTTCTATATGAACTCAACAAATAAATAAATATATACATATATATATACATATATATATATATATATATATATATATATATATATATATATATATATATATTTTTTTTTTTTTTTTTTTTTTTTTTTAAAGACCAAAAGTAAGAAGGTGGTGATCGAGGTCTGAGATGTCTGGGATGGAGCAGGGTCTAGGAGGATGTTGGCGGCAGAAACTTGGCTTGGAGACTCACCTCTCTGAGCCCTGGCCAGAGAGGATGGGGGCCCTGGAGTCGCTCCCTTGCCCTGTCGGCCTCGGTGTCCCGTTTTGGACAATTGGGATTCCTCTGCTGTGCCTTGGGTAGGGGAAGGCAGAGGTCGGACCCTCAGGAGGGAGACCTCCTGCCGCTGCATCGGGCAGCAGTGCACAGGGAGGTCGGGGCTGGGAAAGCAGAGGCTGAGAGGCCCCCTTGGGGGTGGCTGGGACCGGCAGTGGCTCTCCTCCTGGAAGTTCTTATTCTTATTTGGACTCGGATGGTTCCAGCTGGCCTCTGGAGAAGCTGGGCAGTCCTTCTGGTCGAACTGCACTTCCTGCTCTGGCAGAAGCTCCCCCAGCTGCCCTCCTTTCTCCCGGCGCCTCTGTTGCCCTGACAGCCTTGACTGCCGGGATCAGAGAGGAGGCAGGAGAAGTGCTGGTCTCTTAGTTCTCAGTTATGTTCAGATAATTAAAAGAAATGAGGTTGGCTCCTGTCCCAGGAAGAAGAAGGTTGCTGGTGATGAGAGGGAGTGTGGGAGCCGGATGCTGATTGGTTGGTTGGCTTTCTGGAGGAGGGGGCCATCATCGCCTGCAGATGTCACTCATTGTCCTACGCTGTCCACCTGCCAGTGGATGGCGCTGGGCCAGCTCCCTCCCTGCTAGCAACCTGTGCTCCTAGGTAAGGGTTCCAGGGGCAGGCTGAGAGCCCGGCAGTGCCCGGGGCTGGCCTGCTTGTGTCCCACTCTGGGGGCCAATTAAGTCTCCGTTCCTCGTGGCGCCGATTAACAGTTAATAAGGCGGCGAACACCTGCAGCTATAGAGGCGAATTAAGAGCAACAGTCGGCATAATACACAACCCGATAAGTGAGCAATTAACAACCGGAGAAAGATTAATAGAAGCAATTACGTCCTACTCGGAGCTCTGTAAATACGACTGACAGTG